TAAAATAGAAAATGGTATTTTCAGTATTGAAGTCTTTATTTATCAATGGCGGATCAAAATTTCGTCAAGTTCGATAATAAATAGAAGCTACAATAAAAATTGCCTTTGGCTCTGTGATAAGATTAAATAAACAATAAGCCGAATTTTTCCTATAAGCACGATAAAATATGATTGACCTCCACATTGTATATTATATACTACTATAAGTCTGAAAAATAAATATGGTCTAATTACAAATAAATTTTTACATTTTTTACAAATAAAATTTTACACAATAATATATTCAATCAAAAATCGATTCGGAAAATATAATTTATTTACTGTCTCTAAAAAATTTATTAATGCATATCATTACATTGAGAAATGTAAATATTTATGTATTTTTTATATAAAAACAGCATCACTTTTTACGTATAAAAAAGAAATTATTATTAAAGACACTCAAAAGAATATATCTATAATAAATTTAATGTTCCAATTAAATTTCATTTACACAGAGAGAGATAAGTTCAAAATATATAGTTTAATTAAAAAAAAAGTTAATCTCTACCATGAAAACCGAGCATCAATAATTTTTTTAGTAAAATAATTTAAGTGATATTTGATCTGCAGATCAAAATTGTCAGTAAAAGAAAATAAAAAATATGAAAAAAATAAATATTGCAATAGGTTTTTTTTTATTAATTACATCACACATTTGCTCGAATCACACATGCAAGAGTATTATATATTCTAAACAAACCATTGAAATTATTTATATTGGGCAAAATATGTAAACATATTTATGTAAATACATTATAATTTGTATTGTACATTATAATTTGTATAGAGTGAAAAGGTATAAATTAATATGTACACATATATATCACTACTATGATGTACAAAATTTATTGCATATACATTATTAATAAATATCTGTCTTCTAATATACTTCCATTCGTTTTTATTAATTTCAAATATTCAATATTAATTTAACAATTAATAAATATTAACTATAATTTTTTTATACAAAACTTGCTATATAAAGATAAATAATATATACAAAAAATCAAACAAATAAAAAATGAAAACGTTTTTTTTAAAGTGCAAAAGCCGTATTAGAATTGTACAATTAATATATCTGCAAAATGATCTATAAATAGTATATAATGATAATGTAGAAATAAAATAATACAAACATTAATGATGATGTAGATTAGTTGCTCTAATTATTGCACATATTAAATCATCATACAGTCATGTATGATACAAGTATGATAACCAAGTTTGTTTAAAGTAATTAAATATAAATACACGAATTTCGGTTATTTTATAATAATATTGTATATGTATTTATATAAATGAATATATGAATGTATTAAACTAATATTCTTTAGCTTTTATAGTAAAAATATTCATCAAAATAGTAAATGTAGTAGATATATTTACATAATAAACAAACGTATACAAAAATATATAAATAAAATTAAACAAATAAAAATTATCTGATGAAATTTCTTTTTTAGATAAATATTTAAATGTTAATTTCAAATTTCAAATTTATACTAAATTGGATTATAAACAAAAAAAAAATTAATTCTTCACTAAAAATCTAACATAAACTCTGTTAACATATATACAAAGCATTTGAAATTTATAAATAAATAAATATTTAACGAATAAAATTATTTTTTTCGAAAAATAATTATATGTTATTGTAAATAAAAAAAATTCGTTATTAACATTATTATTATTAACATTATACAGGTTAAAAAACTAAAAATATGTTAAATTTATTTTCTAATTGTTTCTCGAATTTATACTCATATTAAGTAATTTTATAACGAATTTTGAGCAAAGCGATAAGATGCAAATGTATTAATCTGATGTAAATAAATAAAAGTAAGAAAAATGAAAATGACGTAATTAGATTTGTAAACTGCGCTTATTATTTTATGACTAGTATATTACGTGTAATATTTAAGCTACAACCAATTAAACTCTATTTATATTATGGAAGTGTTTGAACCGATATTGTTATGTCATGAAAAATTAAACCCTTAAATTATTATAGATTAATTTATTTAAACGACTTTCAACACTTTCTAGCCCAAAAATGAAATCAAGGCCGTGATTCCATCCTAAATTGACAATTTCCGACAATCGTTTTAAAAATCCAACAAACCTTGATCGATGTATACTTACAACCTAGTAATTATTTCAGTCATTCCGAAACATTAAATAAATATATTATATTTTAACAACTGTTTCAACAATTGCTTGCTTCTTTTACGTATCAACCTCGGCGGACCCACAATTTTTAACCTTAACTTACTTGAGATTATAAAACATGGATGAGTCTTCATTAATAACCAACAGTTATTAATTTATTTATAAGTATACTTATATTATGTATACTACTATGTTTTATGTCTACTGTGTTCTTTAAAATAAGATTGTATTTTATTTCTTACTAATTACTTACTTTAAGTAAAAACTTACTCAAACATTAAACGAATGTCTTTTCTTTTCTCACGTCACAGTTTTCTTTACATAATCACTAAATATCGATTGTTTATTATGAATCCAATTTCCTGTATAAATTAAATATATATATATATATATATATATATATATACTATTCAATTAAATAATAATGACATATAAATCTTATCTATCACTCATATAAATTTATTTTAAATTATAAAATAACTACATAAAATTTATTTTAATTTATTCATTATAAAGTTTGTATTAATTGAATAACATAAACTTACCTTAAAACTTGACCTTCAATTCGTTTTGCATGTCATGCTCATTATATCTCATCATCATTATATTTCATAATAAGATAATATAATTAAAAAAAATTAAATTATAATAAAAAATTAATTAATGATAAAGTTTTCAAATCCACGAATTTAATTTAATTTTATTTAATCTTATTATTTTTATTTATTAATTTAATTTATTTAATAATTTTTAACTCATCGTTTAGCATTTATCGTTAACTTATATTTAATATTTATCGAACATATAACGATTTTAAAATTTTTTATATAAATATTATTATTCAAATTTTAACTTAAATAAAATATTGAAATTATTCAGCTGCTTTAGTCGATTTATTCATAGACTAAAGAAAATTTATCTTTATCGTTGATATATAATTATATAAATGTAGGTAAATTGTTGACTGAGAATTTATCATAAAATTGTTTCAGCTACGTGTTAAGTATTACATACATCGTATTTACACTGATATTTATCTTATTTAACTAATTTTAAAATCCATTTACAGAAATAATTTGAAGCAGCTAAAAATTCTTCATCACATTTATTGTTTTATATCATTCATTTTAAAGTATTAAAAAGTTAAGATAGAACGCCAGCAAATAACAAGTTATTTCTATTTAAAAGGTTATAAAAAAGGATCATAGCTCTACAGCCCATCTTTTAATTACAAGGATCGGCAAATTAAGTAAGAATTATTATCATTAATCTTAAATTGTTCGAATTAATTAAATAAAAATCTAATTTGTACTTTTTCTGCTGAAATTGGAATGAAACGTGTCAAATACACAATTATACGAATTACATATATATTTAATAAATAAATAATGTAAAATATACTAAAATAGTGTTATATATACAATATCAATGAGTTCTAATGCTAAGTTTAAAAGATCATAGATTCTAAGAAATTGTAAGATGTATAAAGAAAGAGATATATAAACATAGAGATACATTAATTAAATGTATATAACTTCATTTAATGCGTAGACATTCGCATTCAATTAATTCTCAAAAATGTATGTACTTTTATTTATTTATATTTAAAATATGTAGTTTCAATATAATAAAATATTATTTACCAAGCTATATTAAACTGATAATATAGTATATCAATATATCAATCACACGATTGATAGTTCCATTTTACAATTTGGCACTAAAATGTCTAGCTCGGTATACGCGTGTATGTGTATGCATTCACGTTTATACATAAAATTGTTCCGTAGTATGTAATTATATTATTTTTCAATAAAGAATTTATTATTCGTCATTATTGAAACATTATATTTTAAACAATAACCTACTTCTTCATAATTGTATGATTTCTCTATAATAAATCCGATTTCGAGAATCAAAAATTTATTTTCTTTTATTAATTCATTGATAAAGTATTCAAAATTGTTGTTGATGTTCAAACTAATCTCAAACTACGTAATTGAAACGTAGAAGACTATATCAGAAAAAAAGAAACAAAACATATCAGACTACAATATGTATAAAAGAAGCTATAATTGCTTTAAAATCTTTTGACTTGAAACGATGATTGACGAAATTCAATTACAGTACAAATTAAAAAATTTTTTTTTCACTTTAATGAATGATCGATTAATAGATAGAAATACACTGCAAATTTTTCGAATAAACAAAAAATTTCAATTATGAAAAATATTTTAACTTCTTTACTTTTTCAGAAATTTTTCTTGAGAAATATTTTATATTGCAGAATATAGTTGTTGCATAATATTAATATAATATAATTATACATTATTATTTTTGTTAATCTTAAAAATGAGAACATTTTTTTTTAAATTATACCGGAAACTTTAAAATAATAATTTTATTTATAATCATAAAATGGAAATAGAGACTATATTTCAAAATAAAGTCTTAAGAAATCTTAAAAATATAATTAAAAATATTGTTGGTTATATTCTTTAAAAATTGTAAAAATAATATGTATATAAAGTATAATATGATGAAATCACTATAACATAATAACTTTATTTTAATATATTTTTATTACAATTTTATAAGAAATTTTTTTAATTAATATAAAATGAAATTCAAAGTAATATGTTAAAAAATAATTAAATTTTAAAAATAACTCGTAAATTGCACATTTACTTGTTATCTCTTAATTCGTTTTAATTTTCTATAAAAATAACTGTCGTTATTAAAAGACTTCGTTTCTTCAATTTTCTTTTAATTAGTTGACGTCTGAGAATAATCAATTAAATTACTTATGATTTTTTGTAATTTATAGCTCTTAATATGCAGTATATCGAAGTATCAGTGATTATTCAATTTTTATTATTTTGTGAGTTACTACCTTATATTCATAATAAACAAATAATCTTTTGATTGATATTAAATAATTTATGATATTTTAGGCATTTCAAATGCAAATCCCCTTATCGGTAATAATATTAGAAGAGCAAGAGATAAAGAGTTTAGTTTCATTGTATCTATAAGTGCGAAAACTGCGAGATTCGATGCATTAAGTGATCACATATGTACTGGAACACTTATTACCAACAAACATGTTTTAACTGCCGAGCATTGTATGTGCAGTAATATACATCTCTGCCAAGTAATTGCTGGTTCGAATAATTTATATGAAGGTAAAAAATATAATATAAGAAATTGGATATCATACCTAGAGTGGATCGAAAAGAATAGATTTCATTTGGAATTTGCAGAAAATGACATATCTGTCTTAACGGTGAAAAAACTTGCTTTCTAAAAATTTTCTATTAAAACAATACTAATACCTTAAAAATAAAAAATTAAATACTACATAATTTAAATGAAAATAGTAATAATAATAACAATAATAATAATAGTGATGATAATAATAATAATAATGATGATAATAATAATAATAATAATAATAATAATAATAATAATAATAATAATAACAACAACAACAACAACAACAAACACTTTCTTTTAGTTACTAGAAACAATTGCTGATCCAGAAATTGAGCCGGCCAATCTCTCAACTATGACAAATCGTGATCTAATTGGAATAGATGTTGTGGTAGCAGGTTGGGGTCGAACAAATACTCAACGACTTGCTATTATCATGGAAACAGCAATGCTTAAAATAATATCCAAGTCAGAATGCTTAAAAAAAGTAAAGAAAATTTCCCAAACCAAGACAGATATGATTGTTCCTCCAACAGTGCTATGTTCAATAGCAAAGCCTTATACATTACTGGACAATGTAAATATTAATAACATTTAATTCCAATACCATTTGTTTTTTTACCATTTAAATATTATTTAAAATTTGGTATTTATATTTTAATCTCCTTTTTTCGTGATAAAGAAGAAATTAATTTTTTATTAATTAACTGAATCAAAACAGTAATAAAAAACATATTTATTTTTTTTTCACACTTTAACATTTATTTTTATCAGCTATTGGATTAAAATTTTAAATTTATTTTACATGTGAAATTTAAACAAAATGCAAAATAACTTTATGATTTCCTATAATTAAGTATAATAAAAATATTTATAATTGAATACGTACATACATGCTAATACATTTACATATGCAAATGCAAACTTATATTAAGCTACGCAATTCAATTGCAAATAATTCAGCATTTTGAAAAATTTCAATATTTAAACATATCGTACCATATGTAAACTAGCAATACCCTTTTTACAATGAAATATATTTATATTTTTACGCGAATGAAATATGTAGTATATATACTATATAAACTGTCTGTATAACATGGTTATTATTATCATATAATAATAACTTAATATTAGTTATTTATTAATGTTATTACGATGTAAATTACGCTGAAAAACGGGATCATTAAAACTTTATCAATTATTTATATCTTTATCACACATTTATAAAAAAAATATAAAATAATTTAATGTTAAAATATTCTGAAATTTTTTAAAAATAAATTAAAGTCATAAATAAAAATAACCTATGATAATATTATTAACTTTCTCGTTTGTTTTTTTTTTTAATTTTTTTATTTAACATATAAATCTGAAATATCTTATCTAATTGCTTTAATTTCAGGGTGAAAGTGGTGGTCCTCTTCTTGATACAAACAATCATGTGGTGGGTGTTAATGAAGGGACGACTCCTCAAACCGATAAGCCATTTGATCCAAATGAAGTGAACATTCATGCCAACATAAATTATTACAGACATTTCATTATGGATACTATAAGCAATTAGTAAAAACTTAACTTGAATGCTAATGTAAACAAAGCATAAACATGAAAATAAAACTGATGTATTCTTAAATTTATAAATGTTTACAAAAGATTTATAAAAATATTAATATATATTTTTTATTGTATATTAATAAAAAATATATATTTACTATATGTTTGGAAACTATAAATCTAATAATTATTAAAATCTCGGGTGATCCCAATATTTACTTTAAAGAAATCGAATTGTTTATTGAAGAATTCGAATGATTCATACATCTACAATGTGTGAAGTTATAATTCTTTATAATTATTTTAATTTTTATAAAATGATATTTAATATATATTTATTCCATATCACCATTAGGTAAAAAAATTTGTCCATATAAAATATTGATTTTACAAACTCAGTAATTTTATACATGATGCATTATAATAATAATTTATAATTTAATAAAATTCAGTACTCGTAAATGGCTTTAACAAAATTAATAAAATAACTATGATTTCATAATTTAATAAGAAAATCAGAACATAATTTAATAGTAAAGAAAAAAACGAATTTGAAGTATAATGAACTTTTGAGGTTTCATTTTGTTAAAATAAGTTTCCAAAAAAATCGTTTTCTTATTATATGTTTTGAGTTAATGCTTACAGATGCAAGCTAAACTATAATCCGTTGCTTGAACAAAAATTTTGGATATTGCATAAAATAATAATTATAAGCACTCTTAACATTATAATGAAAATCATCGACTTGTATTTAGAAAATATAAAAAACAGATAAAATTATAGATTTCGTCCCTAATATATACTATAGTATTAGGCTAATAATTTAAATATATAAAACACTTAATTTTCATAATTAAATTATTTAAATTATTTATAATAATTATATAATATTGAATTAAGAATAGTTGTTAAGTAAAATATTTGTTCATATAGTATTATAGTATTGCATTGATATTTGTACAAATGAGAAATAAGGAATTATAATTCAATATTTCAAATATTTCCAGCGCTCGATTTATGCACTTTTTACCAATCTCTTTATAAATGAAACAGTCAGATTCCTTGAAAATAAGTGTACAATATAACTTTATTCTATTTCTGAAAAAAAAGAAAAAATTCTTGAAAAAATCTAATGTGACTATCGTTTAAAAGACAATAATAATAAAATAATAATCAAAAATAAATATAATTTATTTTCTCTCTTACTTGTTATAATATATCTATACTTTTATAACATCTAACAATAAAATTATCTTTATCAAACTTCTATAAATGGCTATCTATAATTTAACATCAATGACTTTAGTAGTAAATTGAATTTCTACTAAAGCTTGATCGTTTTGTGTCATTAATATATGATAAGAACAGAATAGCATAAGACATTGTATAATATAAAAATAATTATGTCATAATAAATTTATAATTAAAATGTACATAGATAAATATTAATTACACAATATGAATTTAAATAATTAAGTGACATTAGCCAGATATTTAGCGTAAATACTTAAAACATTAACGTTTAATTACACTTTATTCCATCTTCGTTTAGCTTCTACCTGCACACGCATATATGGAATGCATGGAAGCAAAAAAGCGCAACAAAGAAATATTTACTGCATTCTAAGATTCTTAAAAATTAATAAAAAACAAAATTGAAGAAAATGAATGGACTGATGGTCGATTCAATGGTTCCATTAAATGTTTCATTTTCTCAGCAACCAAAATCCTCATTCTTTTCGAAAAACCTTTCATTTGGACACAGATTTTTCCAAGATTACTAACTTATCGACTCTCCTGGCAATCGTCCGAGTAAAAGTATCAATGTCGTATAATAGCGAACCGCATACGTTCATATTATAATCTCAAAAATTTGAATGATTTTTTTTGTTATTTGATATCATAAGAGAGCTTAGACGCCAATTTAAAATATTTTACACATTACAATATTTTGAATAAGCTAAAATTTTTTCATCAAATTAATAAAATTGTTTAAAATGCTGATTTCTTGAAGAATTTTATTCAAGTAGATTATTTCAAAATGATTTATTGTCGATAGATTGAATCGTTCTAAATATTAAAATTATATGTAAGCAATATTGTAAAGATGATTAATTTAATAAATCTAATAACAAATATAAATCTTTAAAATATAATTGCAAGCATATTAAAAGAATGATTTCAAAAATTAAATTTTTTTGACAATTAAATTAAATTAATATTATGTTATCATGAAGTCTAACCTCCTATCCTCGAAAATATATAAATACTTATAATGATATAATGATATTATGAGATAATTTTACCATTAAATGATAGTTAACAATGTTTCTGAAAAATGTACATTTTTCTTAAAGGAACATAAAAATTAGAATAAAATTTGTAATGCAAATCATAACTTAATCAAATAAAATAAAAATATTATTTTATAAGTAAAAATAATATTAACAAAAATATTCTCTCTAAGCTACAAACACGTATATATATATATATATATATATATATATATATAGTATTCATTACTTTTGTTTATTTCTTATCATAAAAGGTTTTATTATAATATGCGAATGTATGTGTATATGGATTTTTTTTTATTGAAAGCCGAATCACGTATAAAAAAAATAATTTCGATAAAATGATAGAAAAACAATTGTAAATATGGAATTAATTATACATATTTTATATATATAAATATTATATATATATAATTAGTAAAAAAAATTTTAAAATAGGCAGTTGTTAAGAATGCTTGGTAAGTAATTAATAATATAGTATTATATTCTGGATTGTAAATCTGTCTTGCATATTGTAGATAATGCGTGCAATAATAAAAACTTAAAATTATGATGGTATAAATAACAACTAAAAAACCAAACTATTGATGACTTAAGGATTGATATCTATAATGATTATATAGATAACAATAAGAAATAAAGTGTACGCGAAAACGGCATTTCTCAAAGATTATTCAACGTAAATGGAAGAAAAATTTCTTATTATAATTAGACTACATATTTTTTTAAATTTTATATAAATTCAGAAATAAATTTTTCTTGTTAAATGAATTCTTTATTCGAAAAGGTATAAAAATTACAACTATCTTTATTAAAATAAAATAAAATTATTAATATACTAATTAAAATTAATCGATTTAGAATTTAATACTTTGTTTTTATTATCAAGAATTATTTCATTCATAATATTTTTCACGCTAGAAACTAAATTCTAATTAATTTAAAATTCATTTTCTTAATTATTAACTTTTATAATTTTATTTTAGCAATTATATACAACGTTCATGACGAAAAAAACTTCCGTTCTTTTCTTTCTCAAACTTAATAAAATGGCTTTTGATATATATATATATATATATATATATAAATATATTATATTTGAACCTTTTTTAACAAAATGTGTCGACTATATTTACAAATTAACAAAAAATTATAATTATTTGTAAGATTTTATTTCATAACATAATTTTTTAATATAGTTTATATATATACAAATAATCTTGATTTTTATAATACATATAAAGAAATCTATATAATATGATTAATTCATGAGAAAATAATAGGAATAACAATCTATAATATAAATAATCTACCTTAATATATATATATATATATATATATATATATATATATATTTAAAAAGATTGAAATTTTTTAAATTATAATTGTCTACGAATTAAATATATTTAATATCCAAAATATTACTAATATTTATGATCCTGTGTATCTGATATATGAATCCGAAAGAATTTATTTATCAAAATAATATTGCTTAACATAAATTATAATCTATAGAATCAAGACATTGAAATTTTTTAAATTATAATTGTCTACGAATTAAATATATTTAATATCCAAAATATTACTAATATTTATGATCCTGTGTATCTGATATATGAATCCGAAAGAATTTATTTATCAAAATAATATTGCTTAACATAAATTATAATCTATAGAATCAAGACAGTCATAAACATAAGAGATCCAAATATCTATGAGAGCAGAATGTAATTAATACATTTTTTAAATAATTCTAAATGAGAAGTGCATCTGTACAATAATGTTATGCTGAAAATTTTATAATTTATAAAATTATTTTAAAAATTCAAAAAATTTTTACAATGAACTTCACGGTCATCATTTTCACAATATATTATATTTCTAAAAGCTAAGATAAGATTAAAAGCAAGATTACGCGCTTTATAAAGACAACGCTTTAAACGTGAATTGTATAAGTTCTCTGCTTTTCTTCTTCAATTATTAGATCAACAATAATCTTTTCTTTTAATACATCTCCGTGCACATTTCGATCAAAATCATTCCTAAATGTTAGAGGTACGTAAAACATAAGTATTATAAAAATATTATTCTTCATTTTCATTTACTTTTATTTGCAAGTAAAAACTAATATAATTATTATATTGTTTTATTTTTACAGGAATATCACAAATTTTATAAAAAATGTATAAAATAATCAATATACTTCTGATTATATATATTGTTACAGCAAATGCACATTTGCACTTTCCCCTTAAATTGAATACAAATGCAGAATTATTAAGTAATAAAACTCAATCGAAGGTTAATTATACATTACCAAATTCTATAATACCTAAAAAGTATACTTTATCCTTAACCACTTATCTGGATGAAGGACTTGAAAAAAGATTCACTTTTGATGGCATCGTGGAAATTGAAATTGAAATACTCACAAAAGTTCGAAGTATAATATTTCATTCAAAGGACTTACGATTCGATCGTAATAATATCCATTTGAGAATAGACAAAATAGAGATTCAAGAGTTCTTTGTTCAGTTTGACAAGAGTAAGGATTTTGTGAATATAACAAGTTTGAAGGATGATTTTCAAACAGGCATCTACTATTTAAAAATAAACTATGTTGGTGTATTAAGCGATGATATGCACGGTTTTTACAGAAGTTCGTACATGAATGCAGGAGTAAAAAAGTGAGTGCAATTCATAATAATACAATTAATAAAAATATATTGCCAAAGAGTAGTGACTAGTTAATTTCAATTATCTAAAATTAAAGAGATAAATTATTACATTGAGGAACTTTTTGAAATTTTAGGTGGCTTGCAACGACTCACTTTGAGCCTGTCGGTGCACGTCGTGCATTTCCATGCTTTGATGAGCCCCAATATAAAGCAACATTTGACGTTTCCATTGTAAACAATAAAAAATACATAGTACTATCGAATACAAAAGTAAAAAATGTTGTAGTATCAAACGAAATGAAAACAACGAGTTTTTTTACGACACCGCCAATGTCAACATATTTGCTGGCTTTTGTTGTTTCCGATTTTACAAGTATTAGTAATAAGAATTTGAATTTTAGCATATACTCCAGACCAAATGCCATACAATATGGTAACATGGCATTAAACGTAAGTGAAAAAATATTAAAAGCATTGGAAGATTTTACTGGAATTCCCTTCCACATCAATAAAATGGAACAGGCGGCCATTCCCGATTTCGCTGCTGGTGCAATGGAAAATTGGGGTTTGGTTCTTTATAGGTAACACTATGTACTTTGCAATATAAATTAATCTTATGATGATTGATGTTAATTTATTTGTATATCTATGAAAAATACAAATTCTTTATTTTAAGCATTAAATTATTTTTCCATATAGGGAAAAGTCTCTACTTTACGATGATAAAGTTTTAACCACAAGCGATAAGCAAAATATCGTAGAAACTATTGCTCATGAATTTGCTCATCAATGGTTCGGTGATCTTGTTAGTCCAAAATGGTGGAAATATCTATGGCTTAATGAAGGATTTGCCAATTTTTTTCAAACCTATATTACAGAAAAGGTAAAAATAAAATTTTAAATTACTTCATCACTTCCATTAAAATAGTAAATTTCATGAAATATAATGCTTTATATTCGTAAATTTTCTTTTTTCTTTTTTTTTCAAATGTTATTTACACTTTAGATTGAGCCAGAATGGCACTCGATTGAGCAAGCAGTCATAAAAAGCATACAAAATAATGCCTTTGATTTCGATAGCAATTTATCAACGCATCCGCTTAATCAAGATGTGGAAAGCCCGAGTGAGATCAACGCAATATTTGACAGAATATCGTATGAAAAAGGTAAATATACAATCTTTTATTAGAAATCATTTTTCTACTTAAATCGAGGGTATCTAAAGATTTTAATGTGCTCAAACACGATGATAGCAATCTGCGAAACTTTTAACATTATTTATCAATTTAAGATATAACAACACTATCGATTAGATAAAGTCATTCGAGTCATGTACAGCCTTTAAAATTTGTATTTGCTTCAATATAACGTACTATTATTAATTTTGTAGGTGGGGCTGTCATTCGTATGATGCAACACTTTCTTACGGAAACTGTTTTTCAAAAGGGTCTCCAAAATTATTTAACTAAAAAGTAAGAGTCCCTAATATGTAAACCCTCGTATGCGAGATACTATATGTGTTATTTTTACTAATTTATTATTTTTACTAGATTTCATGAGTGACCTAAATAACTTAATAATATATTTTAATGCCTTAGATCATTATCAGTGGCAAATTCTGATGATCTTTTAGCAGCAATTCAAGAGGTTATAGATAAAAAAAACTTTCCACTCGATTTGAAAGCTATTATGGATAAATGGATTAATTACAAAGGCTATCCAGCTGTATATGTGACCAGATATTATAAAACGTCGACAGTTGAGCTTAAACAGGAACGATTTGTCAAATACAATGCAAGTAGGGAAGAAAAAGGCAATAAATATGAATGGCACATCCCAATTAATTATGCAATTCAATCAAAACCAGATTTTGTCACGACGATACCGCAACACTGGCTCAAAAGTACTGCGATGAATATATCTGTTGATGTTGATTCAAAAGATTGGCTTATTTTAAATAAACAACAAACAGGTTCGTAAAATAACATTTTAACTACTTATATAGAGGGTATCTACAAGCACAGCACTATAAATACATTAAATAGGCTTCTATCGCGTCAACTACGACGATGACAATTGGAAACTCATTACCAACTATCTTAATTCTGAAAACCGTACTAAGATTCACGTTTTAAATCGTGCTCAGTTAATGGATGATGCCCTCGCTTTTGTGAAGCAAGAAAAATTAAGTCTCAAAATTCTCCTGCAGTTAACCAGCTACTTGAAAAATGAAACAAATTATATTGCGTGGCAACCAGCATTTAAGACATACTTATGGCTAAAAACCAAATTAAGTAATACCGGATATTATACAATTTTCAAGGTAAGGTTATGGAGTTTTAAAAATCAAAAAGTGACAAATATAAAGCAATTTATTAAATGATATTTTGTAATTGAAATCGATGTTTTTTCAGGACTATGTATTGAACTCTACAACAAATTTGCTTACTTCTGTAGGTTTGGAGGAAAGCGAAAATGATAAACATTTGACTAAATTGAACAGAATTGTAGCTCTTAAGTGGGTTTGCTCTCTAGGTCATCAAGAATGTACAACAAAAATGCAAGAAAAATTGGTCATGTGGTTAGATAATTCTACGAAAAATCGGTATGCCAGTTGTCGTGTCGTGACCTATAAATGTATATGATTGTAACTACAAAATTATATTTGAATAATTAATTTCAGTCTTTCACCAGACTTAAAGAAAATTACTCTCTGTTATGGTCTGCAATCAGCCGACATCGATATATGGCAAAAAGTTCTGGATAAATGTGTGGAAACAACCGATCCTGATAACCAGAAGGAACTTCTCGTGGCTTTGGGATGTTCAAATAATAATCAGATTTTGCAAAAATACTTTAACTTTATTTTAAACGACACTTCGCCATTTAATAATACATTTTCCGTAATATCTACAGCAATAAGTAGTGCTTTAGAAAATAGCGAAGTAGGCATTGATACTGCTTTAGATTATGTAATTAAAAGGTTTATTACTCTCCTGAGAAAAATGTAAGATATTTGAAATTTAACTATCTTCCGAAATTTTAAATCGTTACAAATAAATTTAATATTTAATTGACATTTAATAATGAATTTAATTTTTTAATTTTCAGCAAAAACGAAGATCAAATATCCAGTTTATTTAGTAACATTGGCAGCAAAATTACCACTACGATTCAAATAGAAAAGGTATTTCAATTTACTTTCTCTTGAATATTAACAGTCTGCTAATTAACTATTTTTCAGCTTAAAACAACAATAAATATGGATATTCCAGAAAATATAACGAATCAAGGAATAAAATTTGCTGAAAATAACATTAAATGGTTAACGGATAATAAAGAAACTCTCAGATTATGGATGAAAGATATAAATTCTTATAGTAAGTCAAGCGATATAAGAATAACTTGGGGATACTTAACTCTCGTCACATTAATATTATTAATTACTCATTTCAATATTAATTAAGTTATAAATATTATGTTAAATAGTATTTCGTCTTTCAATTATTTCTATGAATTTATTAGACCAATATAGTATTGTATTTTTACTGTACCGTAAATTGTAAATATTATTATACATTTTTATATAGATATATTATAAAACCTACCAAATAGAAGAAATAAATATTATTTTTGAATATATTTATAAATAAATTTTATTATACAAAAACACACACACACACGTATGCTCGTGTTGACATACACGCGCGCGCGCGCGCACGCACACACACACATAAAACAAAATAATTATTTATTATCTCCCATCAATTATTCCGTTTTTTTATATTTTATTTCATATTTGTTGTGCATTGAAAAAGTGTGTTACTTGAATTAAAAAATACTTTAATGAAGATTATTTAAAATTAAAATTAACTTTAACAAAAATATACGTGTTCAAAGCTTTTCTGTGAGAGAATTCTGTTAATCTACTTAATTCATGTAATTCGTTAAAAAATTCTAGAATAATGTAGCAGTAAATATATATTCTTACGCTACGGCTTAAAAATATAAAAATTAAAAATACTTACCATTTATATAAATGTATAGTATGTAAAAATAACAATACTCATTTAATTATATTAAAAAATACTTGCGAAACAAATAAAATTTATTAATTTTTTTTATGCAATACAAATAATTCTGTAATACAAATAAAATTTAATCTTTATTTTATTATTATTAAAAAGTAAGAAATTCTTAATTTCTGAAATAAATCTTCTCTTCTGTTATTTTCATGAGAAAATTATATGAATCTACAACAAACATAAAAAAAGAATTTTAATTGTATAGATCAAAATTTTATATTTTTTATAAACTTTTATGTTTTTAATTAATCCACTTTACATATATTCTATTATTCTATTAATCCATTATTCTTCATATGAATAATAAATATTTATTATTAAGTATAAATATTTTGCACTTTAACTTTTCATAATTGAATACTTATTATTATTTGTGATTAGCTTTAGCTTTATCATAATACACACTCTAATGTCTAAAATATAAACATACTATTTTAGAATAAATGTTATTAACGTAATTTAAACAATTTTAGTAAACTATATTTTTAAGGTTATTCAATAAGCATTTTTATTTTATAAGTAAAACGCTTTAACATAATAGATAAATCACTCTCAAACGAGTGTTGTTAAAATCAGTTTCATGGGCTCATTGGTTATGACGTCATTGCGATACATCTAGTTTAAAATTATAACGATTTCATTTTAAATTTGAACTTGATCTGCTTTCGTATAAAAGACTTATACTTTTTTAATTACATAAGAATTTTATATTTGCTATTAATCTTATTTATTTAGAAAAATTGATAATATTTGTAAAATAAAAATGTTATTTAGACTTTCATACATTGACTTTGTATAAATATAATCATTAATATTTGAAAATATCTTCAATTTACACTTTAGAATAGTTTTAAATGCTTACATTTCACTAAATTTCAAAAGTGCGTATATTTTATATGCATTTATCTCTTCCAAGTCTGTACATAATTCATTTCATATTCAGGGTTAATTCAATAAGTGAACTATCAGGTACTACATGACAGTAAGAAATGTGTCAAACGCCATTTGTGAGTAGCTCGTACAAGATGATAGTCAGAAAGTATATCACACTTCTTTTTGCATTCTTAAGTTATTTATTATTGGTTTTGGCAACAAACAATACGTATGGAAAAACTCAAGAAAATCTTAAAAATGCAACCAATTGCTTTTTGAATAATACTAAACCATTAAGATACCAAGTTTATTTAGATCCGTGTATTAACGATGGTAATTTTAGCGGCTATGTTGAAATAGATCTTCTTATTCTTAAAACGACAAAAGATATATCGTTACATTCTCAAGAGCTGCAGTTTTGCGAAGAAGGTGTTTATTTAACTTTGAAGGGAAATTTAAACGACACTTTCGAAGCCTTAAAACCTGCAATAAATGTTGAAAATAGTGCCACTTCATTACAAAATTTGGATGAAATGTTCGATGTTTCATTTGAAACGATTAAGCCATCTGAATTCGTTTATGATAAAAAGGAACAGACAGTAACAATGACATTTAATGAATTTTTGAAGCCTGGAAGATATACACTCGAAATAAATTACATGGGTTTAATTAATTCTAATTCTGTGGGTTTATATAGAAAATTTTATTATGATATTGACAATCAGAAAAGGTAAATAACATAATTATTTGAATATAATATTACCATTGATTAAAAATATTATTACCATATGTATTACAGAGTAATGCTGTTAACGAACTTTTATCCAATATCAGCTCGACGAATTTTTCCATGCAGAGACGAACCTGCCGCGAAGGCAGAAATATACTTCACCATGCAAACATCTCTAAACTTTACAACAATTACAGCAAATTTACCTAAAAACTATATTGAATATAAAGAAGGACAACGATGGACGCACATTCACTCTATCACAAATATCTCAACATATCAACTTAATTTTGCAGTTTTAAATAACATGAAAAATATAACAAAAATCTACTCGAATACAACTTTTATAACATATACGACTAATGCTAATTTAGAATTAATTGACTTGGCACACGAGATATATGAAAAATCAATTACTATAATGGAAAATTATACTCAATTAAATTTTCCTTTGAATACTTTTATTAATCTCGTTTTGCCAGAGAAAATAGATGCCGAATCTTCTTCTAGTTTAGGTTTCATTATTACAAAGTATTATTACCTTATTTAAGTATCCCTACAATCAATTGATGTATATAAATTATTTTATTATTCTGGATTTTTCGTTTGCAGAAAAGATGATATTTTATATAACGAGCTTCTTGGTCCTCTTAAAAAAGTTAATGTCATTTTACAAGCTTCGAGAGATATTGTAAATCAATGGTTTAACCAACTAATTAGTCCTGCTTCGTGGAAATACATGTGGTTAACCGAAGGCCTTAGCGAATACATTAAGTATTATTTAGCCGATAAGGTAAATAATTTTTTCTTTTATGTTTATTTACTTGTAAATGTATAGCATCAGAATGAAATTCTGTAATTAAATTTTTTTTTTTATTGAATAGATTATGCCGCATTTAAGATTACAAGAAATATTCGTTATTCGGGAATTACAACGTCGATCATTTCTTCCTAATAAAATTACAGATACTTCACCGTTGAATAAAATTATCAATGACAGTCCAAAAAACATTCATTATTTATTGTCGCGGTCCGCCTCTACGAACTCAAAGAGTACGTTGAATGCATATTTATAATACATTTATACTATTAATTCAAGGTTATTTAATTTTTTAGCTGCATCTATTATCCGAATGATGTCAAATTTTTTAACCGAAAATCTTTTCCAAACTGGTATTGTAAATTTTTTCCAAACTAAGTAAGTTTTAAATAATTTTACATTAAAAAAATTAATAATAAAAGCTTTTAATAACATGAACATTTATATATATATATATATATGAGCATAGTAAATATAATTCTGTAAAACCAGAGAACTTTTGGGAAGCTATACAGAGTGCTGTGAACGCTTCAAAGGATACTAGATTAGTCAATATAAATGTTAAGAAAATAATGAGAACTTGGACAAATTCAGAATTATATCCAATAATAAATGTCACAAGAAATTATACAACTGGCTCAATCAAAATCACTCAAATGCCAGCAACTATACTTTTTGGTATAACAGAAAGAAATAACACGAGTAAATGGTACATACCGATAAATTATGCAACACAATCAAACCCTAACTTTAATTTAACTTTTCCGAGCCATTGGTTAAAACCAGATACTAAACGACTAATGATTAATGGTGTTAATCCTAAAGATTGGATTATTTTGAATAATCAACAAACAGGTCAATAATTCTGTTCTATCATTATAATTCCTTCTATTTAACGAAATATATATCTTTTTAGTTCTGTTTTAAAGTTCTTTAATATGTAGGTTACTATCGTGTTTTATACGACGAACAAAATTGGATCCGTTTGGCAACACTATTAAATAGCGATAATTATCAAAAAATACCACCACTTAATCGAGCCCAAATCATTAATGATGCTGTGCAATTTTCTCTTAAAAAACTATTAGATGTTAAAATTTTCCTCAATCTTGTATCTTATTTACATCGAGAAACCGATTATATTCCGTGGTACGATGCTCAATTTATATTTAGCTTTTTAAATTATCATTTATCAAATACACAAGCACATGATAGCCTAAAGGTAAAATTATATGTAAATCTATAATAAAAGAAATTTTTTAAGAAAAATTTCTATAAACTACAAAATATTATTTCAGAAATTTTGTCTACGATTAATTGTGCCTCTCGTGGATAAGATTGGTTTTGAAGATCGAGTGGATGATAATTTTTCCACTTTGCTATTAAGAAGAATCGGCAATCATTGGGCATGTCATTTTGGATATAAAAATTGTTGGAACAATGCAACTAAACAATTAGAAGATTACCTATGTAATAAAAAACCCAAATCGTACGTATTAAATTTTTTTTTTTTGTAAATATATAAAATCGTCTCAGTCAAAAATGAACAATGATTTTCTAATGAAAAATAAATTTTACTTCTGCTTTTCTAATTCTCTTTAAAAGGGAATTAGTTGACTTACAGGAATGGGCTCGCTGTTATGGCTTAAATGGTGCAAATGAAACAATTTGGAACAAAATGCTTCAAAAGTATCAAGAAAATTTATCAGAAAACACGATTATATATTTATCGTGTTCAGAAAATTCAACTATATTACATAATTTTCTGAATTTAACGATTTCAAATAACTCAATAATTAATGAGAAACATGTTTTATCGGTATTTAAATCAGTTTGCTTTTTCCAGTCAGGCGATGATAAGCGAATTAATTTATGTTTAAACTTTATCAACGATAAATTTGACGATGTAAAATTAAGGTAAGATTTATTTTACTTATAATAAATAATATTTATTGTAAAAATGGATAATTATAAATAAATCTTGAATTACTAATAGACTTGGAAATTCAACCCAATCTTTTACGTATCTTCTCGATCTTTTGGCATCAGAAATTAGACAAAAGCAGCAATTACAACATGTAAGATATCTTTCGTATTTAATTATAATTTAATATTTTTATATATGTTTAAATAATATCCTTCTAATTATTTTAGTTTAAAAAAATATTAGCTCAAGAAGAATCTATCGTCATTTCTAATAAGCTAAACTCTCGAATAAAACAAATAGAGAATAGTATTACGGTATTTGAACAGAAAGCAAGTTATTACGAACCATATTTAAAGGAAAAATTATTGAATTTTTAATTATTTCTATTTTGTTGTTATACTGTATTATAAATTATAGCTATGAATTCAAATCCAATGAAAAATTCTAATCATGTAACACGGAATATTTTACTGATCATCAAATATAAATATTTTGACATTATTTAAATACAATTATGAACTGAAACATTAAGATTGCCTCCTTTTAATTGATAAAATTTTGAATAACATTTTTGTCTAAAACATATGTAACAAGATGATTTGAATTTTATAATTGTTAGTTAATATAGAAATGATAAAAATTAACCATAGCATACATTATTTTTAATTTGAAAAATTCATATATATATAATTAAATTCACCGGCTAGATGATATAAATAATTGATATAAAATAATATAATTAATTAATTTTTACAAATTTTAAATCAAAGTAATCTCGTTGCAATCGATTTTTATGATTTTATTTAATTTTTCTGCATATTTTTTGTATAATATTCTGCACTCTATTTAAGATAATAAACTTTTTAATTTATTATTACTAACAATAACCAGATACGTAGTAATTATTATTAAATTAAATTAAATTATTATTAAATGATATAAATTTCATTTGAAAGTTTATTCCACTCAAATAAAAAATAAAATCACCTCTACAATTTATTATTAAATTGCTTTTCTTTATTATTCATGCGATACATGTTTTTCTAAATATTAAATGAATGAACAGTTAACTGGTGTTTGCACTATATATTATTTACATAAAATATTTTTTTATAATTTTGCTATATGTACAAATTCCCTCTACGATAGAATAGTAAAATCAATGTCATCTTTATCCAGCCACAGCTATCACATGCAGGATGAAAATAAAAGCAAATGCAAATAGGTTTTTCCATAACTGCGGTGCTTTCATTCATGCTAGTTGCAATGCGCAATAAAATTATTTGTTAAATTCATCTACTATTTGTAAGCAAATTGAAATCTTGACCTATTCATATTTAATGACAATATCCTGTAATATACGACGTTTCTTCACATATCTATATATTTAGAAAATCAGACAAGAATAAATACATCTTTTTTTCATAACTATGAAACACAAACTTGTGCCGACTAAGTAACGACACTTATTATATAGTCGGCAACCAAAATCAATACCGGCAAACACAATTCTTGAAAATGCCGATATTGTCGACTGTTCGTATACCGATCAACACTTAATATTTAGTTAAGAATATGTATATTTTATTGATAGGAGAGGCTTGAGGTGAACCCTTAAAAGATCATTAAAATTGTGTGAACTAACACAATAAGAAATATTGCTTGGTTAACCAATTCGTAACAAAAACTGAGTCTTTCACTTGGGATAGGAAATGAAAGTATGCAAAAAATTCGAAATCGCTCAATAGAATAGCAAACAAAATAGTTATTATTATTACAGAAAATAATAGGCATTAGACACATATTCTTACACAGGCATTTATAACAGAACGTACCAAATGTTTTACTTTACTTACAGACAGTACAAGGATTTACCTTGTGCTCTGTTATGATATTTATATTTATATTAAATAAGTACTAAATACTGAAGTGCATTTGTCACGTAAGTTTAATAAACATTTTAATTCGAAATTTATCCTATTACATATTCATTGAGAATTTTTAAATGAAAAGCATACATTTTTGTAAATATAACCTCAAAAAATATAACCTTAATATATATTTCAAAACATATTAAAATCCTTTATTATAGTAAATCAATGAATATGTCTTATGACATAATTAATTATTATATTAAGATTTTTCTCTATATTACAATTATTCTTAATCGATACATAATGATTTTAAGTAATAACAATAAGTTTAATAATGATATTTTTTGAAATTTTAATTATAAACCATATAGTACCGTTAAAAAAAAAAGTTCATCTACATCAATTAATATTAAATTGAAAAATATGTATAAAAGAAATATTTCTAAATAATCATTATCATATAAAAATAAATTGAAATATATTTCTGTATATTTAAAATGTTTAACTATTCATTATTAATTGGTTAAAAATTGCAATCATACATATGTTTATAATACTAATTATATTTAATTGTATTATGCTTAAGTTTCATCTTATTTATAATATTATTAATAACAATTTGAATATACGTTAATTTAGACAAATGCTATATATAAATTGAATAAATTCAATAAGTCATTATATATATAATTAAATTTTATTAAGAAATTATTTATAACGTACTAATTATATTTTAATTTATTATATTATTTTAAGCATAGAAATTAGTTACTCACATCAGAATGTTATGCTTGTTATAGTAGTTAAATGAAAGATAAGAAATATCTAATAAAATTCTTATTTAAGTCTAGTCGTTGCAGGTAAGAAGTAAAATTTGTTCACAAACTCAATATATAATCATTGATTATAATATTTTTTTTATAAGTTTTAATAAGAAAAATTATATTATAATAAAGTACTAATTTAATTTTGTAAGTATTTAATAATTAAAGTAATATATGCTTTTATATAAATGAAAATTTATACTTTGCACCTACGTATATAAAAAGAAATAGAATTATTTTAATTTATATAAATAATTTATATAAATGATTATTCCATACAACTTAAAACTTTACAAATGTACTTTTTTTATTTAGTCTTTTATATAAATTGTACATCAAATATATAATATGTCGTATGACACAAATCTTATCTATATAAAATAATGATGAATTTAAAATAGCTGTATTATCACTTCTTTTTTATTTCATTTCGACATTTCTAAATACGTATCGTACATAAACAAATAAATATATTTTCTGCTTATAAAAAATTTGCGTAAAACAAAAAAGTAAAACAATTATTATCTTAAAAGTTATCGTTTTAACTATCTTTTCGCATGTTGGATTCAATAATTATTTTAGATAAGTAATTTATTCAAAAATAAAGTTGTGATGTATTTGTTAGTTAAATATGAAATCATTATGATGTGAATATTAAATTTTGTTGTTAATGAAGCAAATTCATAATTATTAAAAAATACGTTATACTAGAAACATTCAATAATACTCTGATATATAAAATATTATATTATAAGAAAATATATAAAAAAAATAACCATATAAAATTCGAAATTGTACAATAATATATGAAAAAAAGGAAGAGAAGAGCATAAATTTAAGTCATTGATTCAAGTGTACATAGTGTCTGTGACATAGTTCTTGATAAAAATATATTAGTTAAAGATATAAATAATAATGATAATTAAATAAAATCGTTATAACCAATAAAAAGTTTAAAGCTAAATAACAAAAGTTTACGATATAATATATCTTAGCTTTATTTATCAAATTTGTTACGAAATTACAATTAATTAAAACACACATTGAAAAATAATATAAAATATTGTTTCAAATTGCTCACAAATTCTATAATTTTTTATTTCAATTATTATATATCACAAAATTTTTTAATTTTTCAATATATTAATAATTAAATTTATATTATTACTAAAAAAAATGTAAATGCTCAAAGCAGTGAAATGTACATTGCATTAGAATAATTTAAAGAGTCCCTTTTCAAAAAAGCAGTTACATGTTGTATATAAATATATATACATATATAAATACAAATATATAATAAGATACTGATATGAAACTGATAAGATACTGATACTGATAAAATCGATCTGAAGAAAATAATGCTTTGTATAGTATAAATGTAATTGCTTTATCATCAAAATCATATTAGAGTTAACTACAAAAACAAATTTCTTCTCATACACATTACCTTATTTTAATACAGTACTTTATTACATTTCATATGACATAAAAAAAACTATACCTGATATAAATAAATAGTCTAGAAATATTAAAATTATTATATTGATATATTAATTAAATTCTTAATGAGTTTAGTCTTTTAATTCAATTTTACGTAAAATTATTTAAATTTTCTAGTGAATGTATTGATTACAGATACAGATATTGATTAACCTAAAAGATAAAATTTTATAATATATTGAATATAATTATACAATATATTATCCAAATAAAAATCATGCCTTCTTAGAAATTTTATATAGAAAATATGTGTAATTATATTACACATACAAAGAAAGAAGAATTTATCACCCATAAAGTTTAAGGTATTCAATCTATACGAATTTTCTATTTTACATAGTATAATTTTATGCATTATGATCTCGTATTATAATGCAGTCTAGTTCATAATAGAAAGAAATTTTTATTTATATTTAAATACTTGGATCTATATACGTAATAAATGCCTGAAAGTAAAATATTATTAAAATCTAGTCAGGCAACAAGGCTTTTTAGATTTTATTAAAAACCTTTAAAATTAAGAATGCTTATTCCAAAATAATTATATAAAATAATATTCGAGTCTTTAAAAATTTTAATTTGTTTATATATCTGTAAATTAATGTGCTCTATTAATAAGTCTGGAATTATTCGACTTTATAACTGTCAGAACATCAGCGATTAAACTATATAAGCAGTTTTTATTATATATCATTATATATATTTATTATATATAAGCAAATTAAATGTATAAGCAGCTTGACTTCAAATATTTATATGAATATGAAAATTAATTTTTATATAATAATTTACAAGCTGTTCTTGATATTGAAATATACTGAATAAGTCTATTAGTTTATAGGTATAATAATAATTATTATTATAATAACACATATATGTTATTTATTTTAATTATAATAATTATAATAATTAAATATAATAAGAACATTATTATAACATAAAATAATAATAACAACCATAAGCAATATTTAAAATATTAATTTACAAAGTTCTTACTTCTAAAAAAAGCATTAAAAAACTACTAGTCATATTTTAACTTTATTTTTATTTCAATTATAAAATATTATATAAATTTATTGTAAATTAATGAATCGATTAAAAATGGTAGTTTTATATAAATATGTAAGTTAACGAAGTTCACAATTGTAAATATGTAATAGCAAGGCTATTCGATTTTACATATAATTAACATAAAAATAACAATGTCTTTACTCGGTAATATTCAAACACTTGCGTCACACTTGAAATATATTATCTTAAATTTAATTTAAAGTTCCAAGTTTACTAGGTGATCTATACAAGCATCTCTAAGTGCTCTCTGTAATGCTTTTCAAAAATATTCCTATTGTTACATACCTCTAATATTATTTTGAACAAATATTTCATAAAATGTTCTTAAAAGTTTTCTTGAAAAACATGATATAACAATGAAAAATTCTACCAGTATGATGAAAAAATCATTAATTCAAGGAAGTCTCAAATGTTATTATTTCATCATATACTATTTATTGTTATGCACCATGGTTACGTTAAAATAAATACGTATTGATTCTCATAAGAATTCATAAAATAAAAATAGTATATGATATCGAATAGTATAAAAGATGAAACGAATACATCTGTAATCAATTAATAATTTTTACAGTAAAACATATAACTTTGTGGATTAAAAATGGATTAAACTTTATACTTTTATTTTATATATTATTGAATTTTAAATTAAGAGAGAATTTACTAAGGGGTTCCTGACCAGTCTTACCAAGCAGGTTTTTAACGTTTAGGTAGTGAGTACCGTGTTAAAACCTGTAGGGAGTCAAACTTATACGATCTAGATAGTCAATAAAAATACGATGATCATAAAATTGATCAATTAAAATTTTCTAGATCTAAAAGTTGTATTCTCTCTATGTCGATCAATTTAATAGAATTAGTTATTGATTGAAGAAAGTAAAACCATGGAACTAATTATGAGTCTATATAAATGAAATGTATATTTTTTAATTATCTAAAAATGAATAATAAATAATAATATCATTCTATAATTACTTGCAATATAAAATAGCTGAAACAATATTGTTATACTATATAAATCATGCGTATGCGTATACGTATAATTTAATTCTGTATAATAATATGTAAAATATAAATAATAAAATATCAATTTTTATTAAAAGTATAAAATGAGAATGCTTCCAAACAAAATCTTTAAACATTTTCAGGATTGATCAGCTTTGCTTCCTTTTTTCATTTATTAAAAGACATAGGGAAATAGTAGTTTGGTATTTGTATCTAAAATGTGTTATTCATTTATCCATTATTAATTATAATTTAAATTATTAAAAAGATTTATTAATTAAAATGTTAATATTATCTCAATATTTATATAAAGCTTATTTAAACCAATGGAACTAAATTTGTTTTAAGATAAAAATATTTAAGCATTTTTTAAAATATTTTTTTATGTATAAATTTACTTTCAACGATTGACTATATCTGAAAAATTCATTAAATATTTTATTGAATTTTACCAAAAAAATTCACGAATATATTTTGAATATAAAAATCAAAAAACAATTTGAATAATCTTTTAAGAAATTGTCATTATAAAAATTTATCCGAAATTTTCTTTACCAATTCATATTCATTTACCTAATATTAAAAAAAAAATAGTTAAATATACAAAAATATTTATGACTATAATACATAAATATATATAAAATATTTTTACGTTCCATAAAACCCGAAGTTTGAAAACTATACATGCTTTAAACAAATATAATTTGATTTCTGTATATAAATATTTATAAAAAGAAATGAAAAAAAATACTGATTACTTATGATTTGTAAATAGATGAAAATTTATATGAATAAGTAATAAATTTATGTGGAACATTTAAATTGTAACGTACTAAACTGAAAGAAAAATCAATGCCACAAAAATGCTTTATTAATGTTAGTAAATTTGTATAATTTATAATAATTAAAATGTAATCGATATTCTTAATGACATACACAATCAATAACTTACTAATATTCTCGAACACAATATATATTCTAGCAAATAGAAATTTTATTTTATATAATTATAATTATACTGTTATGGTTTGATTTTATATTGATGTTACAAATCTTCCTAACACATCATAACCTACTCTATATACATTAAACATAATATATTTCAAATTAGATAACATAATAATTTATCAATACATGTGCTGTAATATTATTTTTTTTATCCCTTATTTAAATATTAACATTCTTAAAATTATTAATTTATCAATATTCTATACCAATATAGCAGTTTGTATTTCAATTTTTTATCGACAGTTAAATTAAAAATAATGACGTTCACTCACATATTTACGTTAAAACTCCATAAAATAATACTTTAGCAGTTATTTATCAAAATTATTGTCTCAATCCAGTATAGTAATTCTAGAGTGTTCTTGTAAATAGATAAAAATGTAAAAGCAAATTACCGAAGAGTGTAAATTTATATAATTGAAATAGTTTCGACTATAAACGGGTAACGTCGATTTCATTCATAATTCTAGATTTTTCCAAGGCATTATGCATGTATATCGATAGCAGAGTCGAATAAATTAGCGTACTCTATGCAAGTATATAAATAACATAAAAACATGTGAAAGTCATGGCTGGGCTCTACCCACTCCACGATGATCTATTTCAGTATTTTTCATATATTTGAAGCACACGTGCCACATATTACTATCATTTTTACATATTGTTTATATATATATATATATATATATATATATATATATAGAGAGAGAGAGAGAGAGAGAGAGAGGGAGAAAGAGAAAGACACTTAAGTTACAAAAGAGTATAAAAAAGTTCCGTGTAAAAATAATTGTAACATTCATATATTACTTTGTTAACCTTCAGATCTTTAAGCGTTACTAAACAAAAAAAAAAACAAAAACAAAAAAAATGCAGCCTCCGAAGCTCGATATTCGTAAATGGAATCTATGAAAGCTAAGATATTGTAAAACGTGCTTTAAACAAATAAGTTCGTACAAACGAGTATTATAATTATCGGTAAGAGACCTTAGAAAGTACTCGTGCGGAATTCATAAAGCTCGAGTGCCTAAATGATTACCATTATGAGCAAAGCTCTGTTGCACCTGATAAAACGTCGATTTAACGGTGGAAAATTGCAATTGGAAATACGACGCGGAAGCGGGAACAAAAATCCACTAAGCTCGCTCGAAAGTCAATTGACCAGAATGGAGTCTTTGGGAACCGAGGACTGGAAGGAGAGTCGAAAGAATGCATGTCTGGTTTACCGAGTGGGTGCCGTTCTGTCGCGGTAGGCAACAGCGAGTTTATAACGACGGCGCAGCCAACGCCGCAACGTTATTTAGTCCTCGACTCTCGGAGCGTACGCACGTGTCCGTAAATCGTTCCTTGCCCCCCTCACCCCCGCGGACAAATAGCAGTCTCCTCGCCACAGCTATCCAAAGCAAATGTAAGTAACCATTACATTTCATAATTCGCTATATCGTCCTATATTGGGCGTAGCCGCTTATAGTTCTTTATCTACAGTGCTAATGATTCGGTAAGAGCTCGTGCGAATCTCGCTTGCTTTTATCCTTTATATGTGTAGATTGTTTCGCTTGTTTCATACGCATCAAGACCTTTAAACAAATATGTTTTACAGGCTCCTCTCAATTTCACTCTCGTCTCACCAATGATCTCCATCCACGCCTCTCTATCACTCATTTCCCCTTACTCGCTCCTCCACCCCTCCCACAAAACTACCTCACTCCCGCCCTATGACTCTTTAACACTCTTTTTCATATCATTCAGATCACACAATTATATTTTTAAACTTTAATAAGATAAAAAATAAAAAAAAAACAAATTTCATGCTTGTTTTATGAGTAGTCTAAGGAGAAATTTATCTTCATTAATTAGCGACAAACATTTTAAAACAATTACAAATATCTAATATTTAAATATTAATATATTTAACAAACGGAAATATTTATGCAATAATTGCTGATTTTTTAATAATCATCAAATTGATATTTGAATTTGAATAATTAACAATTAAATATAGTAATTCGATTTCATTAAAAACAACTGATATCGCTATAATATCTCTGAAAAAATAATCAGTAAAAAAAATGCTACTATTTATTGTATCGTGTAAATTATTATTCACTGATTCAAGACAAATTAATTCATTGAATTTAAGTATTAAAATTACATTTGATTAAAAAAAAAAAAAACAAAGAAAAAGTTGTTTGCAATAAAAATTCTATTTTAAATTAATTTACGGTTACATACAGTTACGTACAAATATATTTATATTTACTTGGTAGTATTTATTTTTATGTATTTCTGTTCATGGTGTATAAAAGTACAGAAGATATTTAAACTATGAAATTCAAACACAGAAATATCCAAAAGTATGAAAAAATGATTATACATAAAGTACTGTTTTCATATATTTGAAAATCCCAAATTGTTGAGAATTAGTATGTAATGTAGTTTGCTATGATATATATTATAAAGACAATTATATTTGTCAATAATGAATACTGGTTTTTTCATTTGAAAATATATTATCTAATTGTTTCCAGATTCAGTATGTGTTATCATCCTTCTATTTCTCATAATTTCTGCAATTTCCGACCACTCAACGTTTATTTATACGAGCGAACGATTCGTCGAAAATATCTTATTCGATCTTTAAGCGATTTTCATATTAATGTATGAATATACTCGAATTTGAGAAACTTTCGAAATAAAATCATTGTCGTTAAAGTGAGAAAAGACAATTATCGAATAAGTAAACATGTGAAATGCATAATCATGTAGTCTCCATAGTAACATTAATCCAATTCCGTGTCATAACAAAAATATAACATCGAGAACAGCTTTGGAACTATAAATTTTGAATTATTAGGCCAATAAATCATGTTTCGGAAAATATGAAATACAATTTAAATTAACATTTCCATTATTATAAAATTCAAATATTGACCATAACATAAAAATTCTTGGAAATATTTTGGAATAAAATATTCAATTTATTCGTAACATAAATGATTCTATCATAATATACATAATGAAATACAAAATATTTGGTCATAAACTTTAACGTATTTTACAATTTTAAAGCCACCGGCATTTAACCGTGAAATTATATTACATTTTTAATGCAATATTGTGTCAACTTTTCATATGACAGCTCTTTTCAGACATAATAAAGCAAGATTCAAACGATAATATACTCCGATATCTATTATTGATCAGAAACTTCAGGTGCCGTTAGCACCCAATGCCCGAACTATCAGGCGTTTGCGACAGTCCTCGTGATGTGCTTTTAAGTGCACCGACCGCCAGATCGTAAACCAAGTCGTAGGTGGTTACGCATGCGCACTATGTGAAATGGAGTGACTCGCGACAACGACGACCCCATAAATCCTTGATACATTCCTAGGTAGGCGCCGCTGCGAGACATATACTGCTTGCTGTTCTATTGCGATTGAAAGTTGAATGCGCCACGCGAATCCGTACTCGCTAGCATTTCATCAAGGACACTCGTACGCTTATTACACGCAGCATTATCATTAAAAAATTACGTTTTTAGATTTTAGCTACTGCCACTTCTTTATTTATTTATTTTTTTTTTTTTTTATTCAACCGGCACCAAATGAAAACTTGTCATACACTTTGAATTGTACTGCTGAACGTTTCGTGCTGAAAAATTGCTAATAAAGAGTTGGAGTTGGACTAATGTAATTTAAAAACATTAAGCCGTTGAAACAAATAATTGTAAAGTAAATTCTAAATTACAAAATCGATGTGATGAGAGGAATGTATTTAATGCTTACGCAAATCGAAAGTGCATTAACCGCTCCCATATCCGAATGGTTACGTCAGAACCACTTCCCCGTACTTGCGTGAGATACAAAAAAAAAAAAAGAACTTCATTTCCTGACTTTCGTCATTTATTGGTTATAGATTTTAATTCCTTCATCGATCACACTACATATTAATAAGTTTCATATTAAGGCAATAAAACGTAGGTGGACCAATAAAGATTTTTTTTTACGCACATATCAATAAGCGGATCGAATTTACTTAATTATATTAATTATTATGTATAAAATTACAAACTAAAGCTATTCAGAAAATTACATCAATTGGGTTTAACTTGACTTTATGCATTTATGAAATTCGGTATTCGTATATATTTACAAAATTATATATCAAAAGGTTTTTTTGTACTAGCATGGTAAAAGCCATTATAAAAATAATTATAAAACTGTTCTTAAATATAAAGACTTTTATAATTTAAACAACGAGAGCTCTAATTTGGTATGGTACATTTTAGCTTAAATGCAAGATATTTTTTTTTTCAAAACATCGTTCATTATGGCCAATAATTTTTTGCTTCAGAATTGAAAATGTCCATTGATTTGTATTACGTTCCCGGAAGTGGACCATGTCGTTCGGTTCGTTTGGTTGCTGCCGCAGTTGGCGTCGATCTCAACCTGAAATTGACCAATCTAATGGCCAAAGAGCAACTGAAGCCGGAATTCCTCAAGGCAAGTACAGTACAGTGTATTATTTCAACAATTGTGCATTCAATTAACACATTCATGGAACTCGTCGTTTTGGAATTCTTCTGTCATGTTGCATACGTATAAAGTATACTTTTTATATAATAGCTGTAATAATACCTCTTATGTGTGTCATGGTTGGATTAATAATTAAAATAACTTGAAGAGGCTTTTGTATTTTTTTATTTTTTTGTTTTCAGCTACAGTGTTGAACGTAATAGAATCATGTTCTTGTGCGTTTATCATTTTTGCCATCGAATTTTTGCTTCATTGCTGCGATAAATTAAAACGCAATGATATTATGTATAGATCGTCCATAAATATATAGCTGCATTTATCATAAATATGCATAAAGTATATATAATTCGAAAGATTTGAACAGTGCATGCAACGTCAAGCACGAATACGCTGGAAACTTTTTTATGCACCGATGTTATTGAAGACTGGCGATCGATTCGTAACAAAAAATCGAATATCCAATCAATACTGAAATACAACGTGTACAATACGGAGAAAAAAAATAAATAAGCCGCATAAAATTGAGGCTAGAAAGAAGAAAATGACTCTGCACATTCTCAAACTGACCTTCTATTTGATTATGTTACTATCGCTCATCAACTCGCTTATGCGTCATAGATATTACCTAACGAGACATGTTTATTTCGTTCTTACAGATGAACCCGCAACACACCGTACCTACCTTGGACGATAATGGCTTTTACCTATGGGAAAGGTAATGTACTATATCCTCGTGGCTTTAACAATTATATCTAAATACGTATTTCAAATACAAGATTCTTATAATTGGGATGAAAAATGAGAATGATCCACTGTCGCAAGACTGAACATTGTTAAAATATTGTGAAATACGTAGGGACGATTCTTATTAAACAACATATAGTATATTGGTATAGTACCACTTAAAAAAGAGAATTAAATTAAAATATTATTTATAATTTGATCAATTTACAAAAGTAAAATCCAATTAAATACGATGCTTTCACATTAATTAAACAGCATTATTTATAAATTTAAGCTAAACTGCTATTTTCAATTACATTATAGGGAAAATGTAGCTGACATGTTTTTAAGTAGCTAGGGAATAATTTAAAAAATTTTATTTCTATATTATTTAATGTAAAAATTAATAATAGAAACAATTTATCGTTCCAGTCGAGCCATTTGTATGTACTTAGTCGAGAAGTATGGTAAAGATGATTCCCTTTACCCGAAGGATCCAAACCAGCGTGCACTTATAAATCAACGCTTATATTTTGATATGGGAACATTATATGAAGCATTCGCTCAGAATTATGTGAGTAATATTTATAATGATACTATAGAAAAAATACTTTCCAACTTATTGAAAGTATGTAAATTTAATAAAAATATTCGTCAGTACCCACAACTTTTCGCTGGAGCACCCGAGGATCCAGAGAAAGTTAGTAAAATACACGAGGCCTTGGAATATCTAGAGAAATTCCTTGAGAATCAGAATTACACCGCTGGAGATAATCTTACTCTTGCCGATCTTGTACTCGCAGTTTCAGTCTCTAACTTTGAGGTACCATAATATATATAACGTTTTATAAAAATGTATTATAAAATTACAACAAAAATATTTGCTTTTTATCTGTTATATATAAAAAAATATATTTGCATTTTCGAGTTTATATTTTATTAACATATAATTTGAAAAATAATAAAGAATATTACTTTCATTTATATACTCTCTCTCTCTCTCTTTCTTTCTCTCTCTCTCTCTCTCTCTCTCTCTCTCTCTCTCTGTGTTAGTGTATATACTTGTTTGAATTAATTTTACATAAAAGTAAAATTTACACATTGTCTATTGAGATTATGCATTGAATTTATTAATACATAATTACAATAAAAATTTAATAAATAAAATTAATATCGTTTTAATTATATCATTGTAAATAACTGTATGTTTGATCGTAAAAAATTTATTATACTAGTATTATTTATCTTAATAAGTCATGATGACATTCAGCATCTTAAAAATCTAAATTGTAAATCGTAAATTTTTTCAGGTTGTCGACTTTGACATAAGTAAATATAAGAATACATCCGCTTGGATGGCAAGGATAAAATCTGAGGCACCAAAGTACGAAGAAATTAATGGAGAAGGCTTAAGGGCATTTAAAGAATTAATTGATAAATTAAAGAAGTGAAGGATTCACAGCTAAATGTTATTATTACTTGCTCAGATACTTATTTATTAAATTTATAACACCGTATTATAATTGTTAAAGAAATTTTATTATTTTTTATTCAAAATTTTGCACGATAAATAAAAATAATGTTTAAAAAAAAAATTTTTTTTATTATTATTTATTGTTACATATATCTAATTCGATAAAACGAAAAATGAAGAAGTTATTATTTAATATCCAATATTAATAAATAGGGATTTAAGAAATTTTTTACATGTGTATACATGACACTAACATTGCATATATATGGGTGTGGGTGTATGTATATATGTGAATTAGTATAAAGAAGGAGCTTACATTTTCACAATCATAAACAAATACAAATAAAGTACGGTACAAACTGTCAGGAAAAGTTATTTATAACAGACTATCTAATAATTATAGTGTTATTAAAGTATTTATAATAAAATTTTATTTATTAAATATCTGTATGATAAAAATATTAAACTTATTTTAACTTCGTAAGAATAAACACAACAAAATAATTTATTAATAATTGATTCTAAAAATATGTATCTACGTATAGATAATATCTTGGATACAATATTTGTTTAGATACCTAAGCTTATATTTTATTATATTAAATAATAAAAAAAAAAATTATTTTTAACGAATATTTAATAGAATTTACTTATATAATCATATAAGGCTATCATCAAAACATACGCAAAATCTGTTAGTTTATATATACATACAGTCCATTTCCACCAATTTGATTACTTCTTTATATAAATACATAATGCTCTTCACCATACATACATATATATATATATATATATATATATCATATATCATTTATCAAATAAATCAAACTATTATTCTCACATTTAATAAAAACAATAAAACTGAGCTTGTTATTAAATACCCACGATTTCTCAGTTTCTTGTAATCTCAAACTGATAACATTTGATAAAAAATTAAAATATAGCCAAATCAGGAATGAAAAATCTTATGATCTATTCGATGTAATACTTTCATTATTAAACTATCAATGATATATTTATTATATACATGCAATTTTCGAACTCTCATGATACTTGTCTGCATATTCATTCACAAATTGCATAAGTTCAACGATTTTGCAAACAAGAAAAATTTACCGTTAAGTCTTCAAAAGCCTCTGATGTTTGTATGACAATCTATCGCACATGATATTTTATTATAGGGAATATATTTTATTTTATATGTACATATAAAATAAAATCGTTTTAGAATAGTAAGCGAATTTTAATATAAGTATTTCAAATACACTAAAATGTATTGATGAAACAAAATAAGCGAACGACATCTAAAATATAAAAAATAGTTAAAAATAATTACGAAGAAAAAACCCGTTAAGGTAGAGCACTTTTTTTACGAACTTCTATATGTTTTCCACGGCAAAAATTTTTCATTAATTATTTATTTACTTGCATTATCAAATATAAAGACTTCCTTAAAGTATAATAAAATTCTCTCATTCTTTTTATAAAAATATGTTATTTGTTATAAAATAAAAAATATAAAAAATTTTATTATAGTTTATTGTTAAAAACTGATTAAAATTAAAAGATGGTATATCATTTAGGAATTGAATATAAAAAATCAAAAATTTATAATGCAGTGTATTTAATAATTACAAAAATTTTGAAAAATAATTTAATCTTATTTAAAATACTTGAATTAATTGAGTGATAATCATGTATAAGTGTAAATACGTAATACAAAGCATTTGTTAAAAATTTATTGTATAATTAATATAATGTAAAATTAATGTATACTCTATTTGAGCATATTTATCAAATATGTTATTCAAATCACAGTTTGAGAATGGATTTTTTTTTTAAATATATAATATCAATATATTAAATGGTAGGAGATAAATCGTATAATTAGTTGTGTATTAAAATAGATAATGATTGTACTGATCAAGAATGTGACACTGAAACTTGGAATTATATATAATAGTGGGAATAGTACAACGACATGCAATATACGATCACCGGAATCAAATTTTATAAAGAAAATGTCTGCTCTCGACTAATTAATTTCTATAATAATAATAATAACCCAATGAAATATAATGTGCAAAAATATATTACTATATACATAAATAATATTAAGCCATAAAGTATTGACCAAAATAAATTATAAATATTCAACAAATCATATAGTGAATCAACTGAAAGGAATTATTAAGTTCTGAAGAAGAAAAAAAGTTGAATATAAATTTCAAAAGCCAAAAAAAATTTCTCAAATTTACTTAAAATAATCTAAACTTGAATTTAAATTTTAGCCTTAGGAAAACAATGAATGGTCATGATAGTATTGAATATTGAATTAAACAATGATACAAAGAATAAAAATTAAATTAGTTTGTTAAATTTCATATTGGATATTCCTTATGAATCGAAAATAATAGAAAATTTATCTTACATTATAATGATATTCAAATTTTATTATTTAGAATCGATTTGATTTGATAAACGTCCATTTAATAATATTTGTAAGTTTCATCTTTCTTCTTATCATCACTTCATCATCTCAATCAGCTGAATATAAAAAAAATTATATTCTTTTGACAAATACGATATGTTGAAGAATGTGTACTAAAGTAGCTGCAAGGTTATCATTTCCATTGGAGTTTATAACCTACTCTTGTCCAACTCGTAGTGCCAGACAGTCGGTGACTTTTAAAGTGTGAGCATCTTAAATTTAGTAAATTTCCAATAATTTGATTTTATAATATATTCGAATAAAAATTATTTCAACAATTAAAGTGGTGAATTTTACATTTTAAAAGTGATTATAATGATTATATTAATTCATTGATAATATTTTTGTCAATGCTTTTTAGTATGTCTATAATTAATAATTATTTGACTCTCTATAGTGAGAAAAATTGTATATACATATTTACACATTAAATATTAATAAGAATTAAATTTAATAGTAATGAGATCTGTTTATTATCTCATCTTACAGGCGCCCAAAAAACTTATGTCCAATTTCAAATTACATTTAACTTTTGTGCCGAAAATGATAAATAATATCCAATAACCAATTAACTGTAATATAACATATTTATGATAAGTAGTAATAATAATCAGTATAATAATTTATAGAAATCAAGTAAATTATTTAATAAGAATTCTTATAATCACGTCTATAAGATGCATGTATGCTTCTTATAGGCTGAGTATTTGTATTTTACAATAATTATGTATCTTTATAAACGTTGAAAGCACTTTGAATATTTTCTGGAACTTTATAATTAATTTAATCAAAGTTGAAATTTTGTAAGATGGTATTGATGAATTGACTAGAGTTGAGAGAGCGTATTTATTACTTTTCTTATATTTTTCAATTTTCGATATCAACATCACTATAAATATCCATATCTTCTTTAATTTCATAAAATTTATGTTATAATTAGTCTTTATAATTTAATTTGAATTTAAAATACTTGAAACTACGATCGTGAATTCTTGCATTGTAACATTCACGTTGAAAATCAAATATGACAAATAATTAAATGATATTTTATATTAATAGTTTAATACGCCTCGATAGATAATTTTTCTCTGTCATTTAGACTTGAAAATGGTAGTTACATTATACCAAATTCCTGCAAGTGGACCATGTCGTGCTGTTCGTTTGGTCGCAGCTTCTATTGGAGTTAATCTTGAACTTAAAGTTACCAATCTACTAGCAAAAGATCATTACAAGCCAGAATTCGTTAAGGTAAAACTACAATATAAAATTATAGAAATACATGTTTATTTATTATCTTGTTAAAGTAAAAAGTAAAATTTATATTTATTATGCTGAGGATAATAAAAGTTTTTTTCATTGGCATCTAACATACATTACATGGTTACAATAAAATTTATTATAATATTTATTAAATTTTCAAAGTTTGGAAACCTTTTTACAATAAAAGCCACTAACGCCAACTTAATGTATATCTGTTAAAAAAGATGTTTATTGATATTGCCTAGAAATTATGCATTTTGTCAAAACACGCAAACACAGTCGAAATATTAATATTATATTTTTATCATTGTTTATTCTATTTTGTTGTTTTTAAAAATATTAGGGAAATTGGCTGTAATATGTTATATGTTATACTATAAATTAAATGTATTAATGTACATTAAATGTACAACTAGTACGGCAGCAAAATACAATAATAAATATGAAATCCTGTAATCACATAACATAGCTATTATATAACTATTATAAAACTGTAATTGATAATTAACTTTAATTTTCTTTAGTGGATTTAATTTTTTAATTAAAATTATTACAATAAGATTTTCATTATTATATTTTTATAATTAAATTGTTTTAATAATGAACAATACATAGTAATAAATAATAATTTTTAATTACCAATTTAATAATACACAATCGATTTTTTCAAAAGAAATAGTACTACTATAATACTATTATATTTAAATGGTACTTGCAATAATTAATACAGATTTAATTAATATAGCACTTATAGAATTAAAGTAATATCATTATTTAATTTGGTTTATATACAAAATTTATATTTAAAACAATTATTTAAAGCCATCTTATCTTGTACGTTTAAAAAGTTTCATAAGATACGTAAATATACATTATATGTTCTATATTATTGCTGGTAATCGTCAATCGATATATTATTATGGACAGAGCAAATCAATACGCATATTGCTTTGTCTAAATAGAGTGTCAAAAAATCAAACAATTCATTGAATTTACAGGAAGTTGTAAGGCTTCAAAATATTTGTAGATTTACTAAAGCCATTTAGTAATGTGGCCTTGAAGTGCCCCTCCCATTTCATCATCTCCCAAGGACATGCAAAAACTTACAAATAAGTGTCCTATGTTTACAGATGAATCCTCAACACACTGTACCTACTATGGATGATAACGGATTTTATCTATGGGAAAGGTAATATAGCATTTCTTATATAAAAATTTAAATACGGTTGTTTATATAATTGCTAGATATTAAACTAGTTATTATTCCATTAAAACACTAGATGAGTAAGAAAATTTTTCATGAGCTTTACATCATTGAACAATAATAACTAAAAGCTATAATTTAAGAAATTATGTTCAAGGATATCCATTACCACTTTGAATATTCTAAGAATCAATCTACTTGATATATATATATATATATATATATATATATATATAATATAATAAACACTTTATTATGGTTCATTTATTTACAATATTAAGCCTGTATAATTTGAAAAAGTATTTTGGTAATTATAGGATTATTATTTCAGTAATATGAAGAATAATTTTTATTCTCTTGAAGAACTTTGTATTTTAAATTCGGCATTTAACTATTATTTAATTATTATTTAATTAGTAAAGGACAAAATAAAATAAAATTGTAAGTGTCATTGAAAGGAAATTTTCCTCTTTATAATAGCTGCATATATTGTGTATTTTTATCTTATTAGTATTACGACAATTATTATTTAGTATATTTAATATTAATTATTTATATAATAACTAAGCATAACAGTACTTTTTAGAGACTATAAGTTTTCATTACATTCTTATTATATCTGATTCTATTCAATATTATTCGTTATAAAACGTCTCATATATTATTCGAGATAATTAATAAAAAATAAAAATAATAATAATAATAATAATAATAATAATAATATATTGAAATAGACTCATTATTGAAAAATTATAAAAGTGGTTTTTATTAATATGAAAATTAAAATGATGACAAATTATGGGCTAACTTGGTTTTTATTTGGAACAAATCACTTTGTACAAACGGTTTCAATATATACAACTATCCCATAAAATTATTTTTAACAAAGAAAAAAACGAGTGTTTCCTTATAACAAAAATAATTAATCTTAAACTACATGGCGCATGTAACATTAAAGTGATTATCTGTTAGCCGGGCCATCTGTACATACTTGATTGAAAAATATGCTAAAAATGATTCACTGTATCCAAAGAATCCAAAACAACGCGCAATTGTAAATCAACGTCTATACTTTGACTTCGGAACCTTATATCAACCTTTTGTCGATTATTATGTAAGTATTTATTAAAACAAAAGAACAAAAAAAAAAAAAAAAATATACATAAAATATGTATATAAATTAACAATTACTGTTATTTAGATACTGCCCTTACTACTTGGGAAAAAAGCAGATGAAACGAAGGTTCAGCAAATGGAACAGGCGTTTAAATATCTCGATCTATTTCTTGACAATGAGAACTACGTAGCTGGAAAAAGTATCACAGTAGCTGACATTGTTATACTTACTTCTGTTTCTAACTATACGGTAAATTAGTTTTAACGCAAAATATCATTTAAAAAGCGATAAATAAAGCAAGATATGAAAAATTCAACTGATCTAATATCGACTTGAAATATTGAGTTTCTCAAGTGTTTAAGTAAGGCATTAGAAATAAATAATATACTTTACTGGGCACTTACGCCGATCACTTTCATATCTCAAAAATATTTTATGTATTTTAGTTAACTCGAATTGCTTCTATATGAGATACTTGCATATATTTATATAACGGGTGCCAATATGTAGGCGCGACGGCTTCCGCATCTGTTTTTGTAACGTGTCCCTCTGTTGAATTAGTAAGATCATTGAAAATTTCACTCAAAGGCACTTTTTTTTTTTTTTTTTTTTTTTTTAACAAAGCCCTCGACTTGCCCTTGTCATAATTCATATAGCCGCTGCTTTAAATATTTGCGCTCTTACGATGTGTCATTATTTTATGTAAACGTTGATCGAGCGTCGCGAGCTTTTAAACATTGACACGATCCTGTTCATCCGTAGTTGCCTAATGCTCATATCAATTTATATATTAAAAGCAGATTGATTAGTCTTATCTTAAATAACATTTAAGTATTAGAATTTAAAAAATCTTGATAGAGTGATATTATAAATTATATAAATTTTCTGATTATCAATACTTATAGTATAGATGAAAATATGTACAATAAGTCACATAAAATGTGGATATTAGGGCATAAAATTATACTTTAGACAATTATTGAGAAAAGATACACATAAAAAAATTAAAGTTTCAAGTATATATCTAATCTTTTCGATTCCTTCAATAAACAGAACGGGGCTAATAATAAAAATTTAAATACTCAAAATATTAAAATATTCAAATACTCAATATATTTATTTTTCAAATACTTAATATATTTAAATACTCAAAAATTTAATAATCAAAATTCATAATATTTACTTCTTTTAAAATAAAAATAAATTATTTTCAGATATTTGACTATGACATGAGTAAATACCCGAATGTTACAAGATGGTTCGAAAAACTACAATCTGAAGTTCCTAAATATAAAGAAATCAATGAAAGTGGATTAAAAGAATACAAAGCTTTTGTACAGTTTTTAAAGAATAAGTAAAATTTTACGCATTAATAAGATTAATGTCTTATATTAATTAATTGTTATAACAAATGTTTTGTAAAAATATACTTATTTTGGTATCTCGTAATTAATATTGTATACTTTAATGTAATATTAATTGCATATGTTAAATTAAAAATATAATAATAATAATAAGGAGAAAAAGAATAACAAGAAGAAATTATTAAATGCTAACTCTAATATTATTGGTAATTATAATTAAAAAGGTAAGTTATGTTAATTGTAATAATAATTTGAAAAATATTTAAAGTTTTTTATTCAAAATTTTAAAAATGAATCTAGTAAAGTAATAATTTTGTTAATAATTCAATTATAAAATTAGGGAACTAAAACGTGTGTATGAGAATTTTTAATTCATGATGAAATTTATAGTGTACTTATTAATTTAATAATATCTATATCCGTAAGTGACAAATAATTATAATCTATATTTGAAAAATTCTGTCAACAAATATTTGTCAATAATCTGAGCTATATCATAGTACAAAAATGTAATAAGTTTTAATATAGATATATATATATGTGTGTGTGTGTGTGTGTGTGTGTGTGTGTGTGTGTGTGTGTGTGTGTGTGTGTGTGTGTGTGTACATAATAATTTTAATCGATTTTTAATATCAATATATACTAATTAGAATTAATCGATTTCTTTAAATCGAAACATATTTTTATAGATTTTATTTTGATTTACAAAAATGTTAAGAAACTAAATTTATAATTATAATATCAATTTTTAGTATGTTATAATTTATTGTAATATAACAAAATCTGTATTTTATAAAATTTCAAACAATTTATTTTCAATATTCAATTCTGGAATTAAGAATATGAATTATTCCATGACCTATATTATACTTGAATTAAAGAACTAAGGTATAGAATATACATCTCTCTCTCTCTCTCTCTCTCTCTCTCTCTCTCTCTCTCTCTCTCTCTCTTTCTCTCTATGTATGTACATAAATATGAAAAATACCTGACTCTGATCCATGCTATAGACTAATGCATGACATTGAAAAGTATTGACTATTACAAATCAACTGTAAAGGCAAAAAAGTAAGAGTCGTCAGTACATCGCAGTCCTTTCTTGACAACAGTATATTATAAAATAAACTGATTATTCGTCTAAGATTAATCATAATTAATAATTCATTCAGTTAATATAATGGAATTATACTATAATCAGTTTAGCCCACCAAGTCGCGCTGTTAGAATGACCGCAGAATATCTTGGCCTCTCGTTAAAACTCAATTGCATCGATACTTTAAAAGGCGAACAGTTAACTCAGGAATTCGAAACGGTACTCTCATTTAACAAATTTTTTCACTTACAATAAATCACGTTCATAGCAATGTCAAATATATATTTCAAACATCGTAATTATTTTAGATAAACTCTGCTAAGAAAATACCAATTCTTGTGGATGGGGATCTTAAACTTGCCGAAAGGTTAGTACTGTTTGTCATTACTAATCGATATAATAGAAACTGTTCTTACCATCATAGGATATCAGTAGTTTTACTGTAAAGCAGAGATGGCATAAGCTTAAGGCATAACGACGCACTTTACGCATATCCTAAAGAATTGCATTTAAATTAATAACACGCAATTTTGCATATTTCTTTTGAGCAATAATAATAATAATAATAATAATAATAATAATAATAATAATAATAATAATAATAATAATAATAATAATAATAATAATAATAATAATGATGATGATGATGATGATGATGATGATGATAATAATAATAATAACAATAATTACCAAAGACTTATTGAAATAAGCCTAAGCGAGAAATAAGTTTTATTTTCATTCTTTTTTTCATACATTCCTTTAAAGAAGACAAGATTTTCAAGCATTTCACGCAATCGGACAATACAGCTCAATTGTTAATGATGGGATTAGTAATCATCCGGCGTACTTGCATAAGTTCCGAGTTATTATCTTTATTCATTTTTTTCTTTTCTTGCTTAAATAAGAGCACGCACGCGAATACAAGAACTAATTAAAGTGTCACATTTTTACATGACGGTGAAACGGTTTTGTAATATTAATAACCACAATAATGATTCTGCTTTATTACAGCCGAGCGATAATGATTTACTTGGTGGACAAGTACGGGAAAAATAATTCGAGGATTCTTCCGTCAGATCCTTGTGGACGTGCACTCGTCAATCTCGCGCTCCATTTCGATATTGGCAAACTCTTCAGAAGCATAGAACAATATTACGTATGACTACTATTTCATCTAACAAGCTAACCGAATTAATTGCTCGCTATGACGCATAATAATTTCGAAAATCTCTGAACTTTTATTTTTTGAGAACGCAATTTTCCGAAAGTGCGTATCATTAGTTCTGTTACATAATATTGCAGGATTCAGTTGCTTTTTTTTTAATTTTTACAAATGCTATGGGACTTATTGAATCGAATATCAGGAGTTCTCTTTATTATTAATCGAATAAATTGATTATAAAGCATTTGATTGAAAAGATAAATAAAATTTACAAGGGACTTTATTAATAAGATGATTGATAAAAAAATAATTGTAGTAATCAGACGCTTAGCAATAATTTTAATTTTTACTTTTTATTGAGCACTTTAAATAAATATTAATTTTTTTTATAATTTGTCAGTAATATAAGTTATTACAAAATTCAAAAAATGTGTAAACAATTGAGAAATTATATCATCAGGAAATTATCATGTTATAGATGATAATATATATTTGTAGTACAACGGTTTAAAAAGTGGGCATAAAATAAAATTTCAAATACTTCAATTTATTTAACAAATTGTAAAAACAACGTTATATTTATTATTTTCGCAAACTTATAATTATGATAGAATTTGACACAATAAACATGTACTAAATATCAATAAATCTAATTCATTGAAAAGTCAAATACCCTATTTAGCTAGTTGTTTGCCCAATTAAAGATTCTTAATAATTTGTTTTATATATTAAAACTAAGGGAATGATGAAGTATTTAAATTCTAAAAACAAAAATAATTCTCAGTTATAAAGATTTATCCTACAGTTTATTGTCCATTTCCCGTATTAAGATTTTCTTCATTATAATGTAGTGATAAGTCACACCTGTTATGTTACATTGTGTGTCGCATTCCTGAGTTTAAACCGACAAACGTAAAAAGCTTTCTTCTTTTTTTTGTCTTTCAAAAATTGCAGTTCCCGATAATATTTAAGCTAGAAGAAACGCCTTCAGCCGAGAGATACGAGAAATTGAAGGAGGCTTTTGGAATTCTAGACAGAATGGTCGAAAGCCAGGATTACGTGGCAGGTCGGAATTTGACCATAGCTGACATCTCGATAATAACTACGGTGACAACCGCCGAGGTAACAATCGCGATTATACGGTGCACGCAGGCTAATCCAAAGAAAATACGAATTTTTAGTAATCCTTGTGCAAATCATTACCGTCTCGAATAGCCTGAATCTATTGGCATGTTAATGTTAAGGACACTGTAATGCTAGCGAGGCTTTAAAACAAACTCACAACAAATCCATTTTTTAACTAAGAAACCATAAAAATTTCATATCTATTCTTATTAATTTGAATGATGGAGGATTGCCGTGATTTTTTTAAAAGATAGTTACATTTAAAAAAATACTCGAAATTTAAAAAAAAAAAAAAATCTATTTCATTTATTTACAAATCCTTTAAATCCTACGATTATTAATGTGATATTTGTTTTCGTCAAAATTAATACTCTATGCAATTATTTTAAATTAAGAATCATGCAAATTAATTAACAAAAAAAGTATTTGATTAATGTTTATTGGATGGAGACTCAAATATTTCATTGATGATTACAAATGAACTTTCTCGCAACAGGCTTTTGGCTTCAATATTATTAAATACAAAAACGTGATGAAGTGGATCGATCGAGTCAAAGTGGCCATACCAGGATACAAGAAGATCAATGTCGAAGGTATTGAAATGTTAAAGAAAAGACTATCGGGGCAGATGGAAAACTGATGGTGGCAGTACGATTGCCACCCCCTTGGATGCATACTCGGAAAGCGAAGTGATTTACACTTATTTGATAATGTCATTAGAAGCAGAAAGAGATTTTACCGTAAAAAATTTTCGAGATAATTCGTTTCAAAGCACGGAGAGGAATAGAAAACTCTTATTGTTATATAATTGAGAAATTTTTATTGCACATTATTCTAATTTATTGATGAGTTTAATTAACACGTAGTATGTCGTTAAGAATATCTTTAGATAGTTGAAGGAAAAGTACGCTAAACTTTAAAATAATCGTATTAAATTCCATTTGAGTTTAAACATTATTTATAGATGCTTAATTTCTTTCTGATAGTAATATATTCTATTTTATTATTCTTTTAATTATTATAAATAAATTAATAAGATAAATGCAACTGATGGTATCACTGTAGTACGATTAAAATGCAAAATCATGATTTTAGACTTAGATGATAAATAAACCAACGTTGAATAATCGTATGTAATATGATTTATGTGACTTGCATGTAGGTATTACAAGATGATCACATAATTAGGCACAAATATTAAGTAATTGGAATTATTACGCTTGAATAATAAACATTTTTCTCGTAATTAAATCATCGAAGCAATTCATCGAATTGTTTTTTATTTTATTATAATAGTAATTCTTATTGCTAATGCACGTTAACTAGACGATTAAATAAGATAGGAAATAAATATTATGAGTAAGAAAATAATGAGCTACAAATAAAACATTGTTCAATAATATTGAACACCAAATAACCTTTAACCAATTAAAATGAAACACTCGTGGGTGTTAATTATCGACAAAGCACGACTTTAAAAATTCTCAGCTAAAGAGGTACACATTGAATTTTTCATATTTGATGTAAAAATAACATGATGCTCAAGTGCTGTGGCGATACTGTGGCGAGCAAATTCAATGCGGGCAGAATAATTAATTAGAAACAGCCGGGAGCGTCTACTATAATCGGAAGGGCATGTGGACGTTTAACGGCAAATGAAAATGTGAGGAATAGTAAGAAGGAATTTTCACATATTGGGTAAACGTACATCGACCGGCTTCGACGCATCCATTTCTTCAAGAAAGAGGGAAAAAAGAAGAAGCAACGAAGAGTCCGACTGGCAAGGTACTGTCCATCCCGTATAGATGATCGAGCCTCGATATTGAGCCCCGACACAACATAGTCGCCGTTGATTCTCCGGGGCTGCAAGTGAATTGAGAGGAGCGAATGAGTCGGGGGGTCGGACTGCTTTTTCGGTTGGCCAACGTCGCGTCGGCTTATGAAGCGGTAAGAGGCGTGTCGCGTTTTAAGAGGACT